AAAAATACAGCCTAAAACACAGAATATCCACAAAACATTTCATTAGTTAAAATTAAGAAATGTTGTGAAAGCTCAAACATTTAAACAGCAGACCTTCAGTTGAGCTTCTTTATGGTCAATTAAATAAGAGCCAATGTAGTAAAAGGTGTTTTGAAACAGCAGGCATGGCAGGAGGAGGTATATTATATTAATGGCAAAAGTAAAATCACATTGTGTGTAGGGTGATGAGTATGCATCTGTGTGCAACTCTCTTTCCAATTGTGCCGGGTTTTTCCTCCCAGGGAAACTTTAGACCACAATGTTATTTATTTAAACAATGTATCTCCTTTTCCTGGTTTCAGTTCTGTTTATGTGTTGAGCTGTTTAGAATAGATGAACCATCGTCTAAAAACCACTCAGTGCCAGGCAACCTTACTAGGTGGACACAAACTCGTGAGTCCACCTTCCTGTTGTGAAACCTTGAGCAGGTACTTCTCTGTGACTTAGCTTTGTGTTTTTGTAAGGGAGAGATAATAAAAGCCCCCACTTTGGAAGGTTGCTGTTGGGATTAAATTAAATAATCCACAATGATCTCTAGGACTGTGCTTTGCTCACAGTCTCACATGTGTAATGAACCAGTTGTTTTTCTTCTGTATTCCTTGCTGCTGCTGCTGCTGCTGCTGATGTTGCAAAGACAAGTATTGCCGTTGCTGTTCTGTTGCTGCTGCTGTCACTATTTTCTAGCTCTGTTTAGAGAGGCTGCTCCACATAGTGGCTCATTCTTGATATAAAGGCAACTCAGGAGTTTTGCCTTTTAAAGGAATTAATGCCATTATATCATCTTCCCATCTGCAGCTCCAGCCCAGTCTGTTTTGTTTCAGTTTTTGTAGGCTTGCCCTAATTCCACCTTGTCTTTTCAACATTTATTTATCTTGTATTGTAATGAAGTTTCTGCTGATTTTATAAGTAACTTAAAGCTTGGAATTAATGACTTTTAGTGACTAAATATGTTCACTTTCCTCTGTGTTTCTATACTGATCTTATGAAGCTGATTGATTGAGAAATGTCTTGTTGTGTGGCCCTGGCTGGTCTGGAACACGCAGTGTAGACCATGCTAGTCTTGAGTTTGCTGGGGTCCTCTGCCTTCTGAGTGCTGGGATTACAGGTTTACACTATTATGTCTGGTTCAACTTTATTTTAAAAGCTCAATTCAGTAGCACAAAGAGGCAGTTTTTTACCTATCATATGTTAGGTATTTCATGTGACTTTATTAATATAGTACTTCAACAAATTAAACAAACTTGAATTATTCATTTTTAAGCTATGTCTTCTGTTATTTGGGGTACATGTGTTGCTTTGTGTTCTGTATTTGTACTTATTCAGTAGTAATTGATGAAAGTAGACAAGCTGGGGAATGAAGCAGCAGGATGAAAACAGGGAGAGAGAATGAACCAGTCACCATCTTCATTTGTACTTTTGCTATGTTCTTTCTAGACCCAAACCCACTTTCCACTATGCTTCTTTCTTTTTAATTGTGCAGTTTTCTTTTCTGAGAATTGTGAGAAGAGAAAAACAGTCTCCTTTAGTTCCCCACTTACTCACTTCTCCTGCAGGGTTCTTTCCTGTGGCCTGCCTCAGTGGCTTTCATTCTCAAGGGCACCATTTAGAGGACTCCTGGTGATTTGCCACATGTCTCTTCTCTTATTCCTTCAGTATCTGAGGTGTTACTTACTTGGCTAGTGTCTATTTTTCTTGATCGGAATGAGCTGTCATTCTTATTATTCCCATGTATACAGTACCTCTTCTCTCCCATTGTCTGTTACGATTCCAGTTTGTTTGTGACTTGCCTGGCTGTTGTGTTCTTTTTCTTAGAATCTGGGCTTTGCTTTGAGTTAGGCTTTTTCTTCCTCCTGAGTTTGTGTCTCACCGTGCAGTCCACAACACCTTTGCACTCCTTGTGTTGTGTAGACTGGCCTTGAACTGATTATTCTCTTGCCTCAGCCTTGTAGTGTTGCAGTTACAGGCACGAGCCTCCATGCTAGGTTAAGTCAGCTCTTTGGAAAGATCAAATGGGACATTTTGGGTGTTTCATTTTTCTTTCCCAGTCATAGTCTCTTGCATAGATCCTCCACTTACATATTTATTCACCTTTATTATTTTAACCAGTTTTCCCACTTCTCGGGTATTTATTAGATCCTTTCTCTTTGTCTGTCATGCAATAGATAGATACCTTTGCTGCTCTCAAATCTGTTAATCTTATCAGTTATTTGTTCCCTATTCAAGTATTGAAATTCTAGTTTGTAATTTTTGTTTCCTTTTTAAAATTTCACTTTCCCCGATAAAACTGCCTATTTGTTCTCTTATAAAAATATTTCCCAAGGGCTAGAGAGCTGGCCCAGTGGTTAGGAGCACTTTTTGCCTCTATGATCCTATTAAGGTCTGGCCTGTGCCAGCCATTGACCTGTGATTCTTTCCCCTCATCTGTGCCTATAATTCAAATATTTGCTCTTTTGGTGTTAGCCTGTATTTCCTGCATGTTTCTTTCTTATACTTTTTTCATACATCCTTTTTTTTTGTCCACATCTTTTCCTTTGTCTTTGAGTCCCAGGATTCCACTTTCTTGTTTAATTCACTCTAATTATAAGAATTCATCTGAGTTTTCTAATTAGAATATTGAGGTTTTCAATTTCATCTTCATTTTAGCTTGTGTTATATCATCAGTGTTTCTATTTTAATTTACTTTTTTTCAAATCCTGAATTACTTTGGCCATTTCATTCAACAGGCTATCTGTATAACCTTGTACGTCACTCAAGTGTTTATTGTTATCCTCTTGGAGTTCAGGGAAGTATTTGTTTGTCTTCTTCAAATTCCTTGATAAAGTTTATGATTGTTCTTTTAAATTCTGTGTCCTGGGGTTCATCTAGGTAGTTCTCATTATAGAACATTTCTATAGATTGGTGGGTTTGATGGTATACTTGCTGTGTTGGTGACTCAGGCCGTTTTTGTTTTAGTGATTTGATCTGGCACGTAGACTTCTTTCTTTAGTTATGTGTCTGATGTGGTAATCTACCTTTTCTTAGACTGGGCCAGTGCAGGAGATGCATGATCTGAGCTAGACCAGCTAAAGCTGGTGGATGAGCTGCTGAATTGGACCAGGGAAAGGTGGCTCTAAAACCATAGGCCTGGTGGGAAGAATGTGTTTAGTGTAGTGCTTGGGTGAAATGCTGTGGAGCCTGTTAGTTCATTTTATCTATGGTGTCATTTATCTCTGATGTTGGATTTTTGCCTAGATGACTTGTCTGTTAGTGAGAATAGGGCATTAAAGCCACTTACTATTATTGTATTGGTATTAATCTGTGACTTTATATCTCATAGTATTTGCTTTATGGAATTGTGTCAACAGTGTACAGCATAATATGCTTAGAATTGTACTGTTTCTCTTGATTGTTTTCTTAATTAGTATGAAGTGACCATTATTTCTTCTGAGTAGTGTTGGTTTGACAACAGTTTTGTCAGGTATCACAATATCTACACCCATGTGTTTTCTGGTACCATTACTTAAGATGCCTTTGCTCATTCTTTCACCCTAAAGTATCTACTTTTTGTTTGTGAGGTATGTTTCTTGGATATAGCAAAAAGAGGGATCATGCTTCCTAATCCAATCAGCTATTCTGTACCTGTTCATTGGAGAATCTAATCCATTGCTATTCAGAATTGTTACTGAAAGGTGTTTATTAATTCAATTGCTGACATTTTTGTTGATTTTAAGTACTTGATGGTTTTTAAGCCCTCATTTGGTTGACAATTTTCTTGGAATCTTTTTTAAAAAATATGGTTTCTTGGAATTGTTTATTATTCTCTTCCACCCTAAGTATTCCTAACAGTCTCTAATGTAGTGTTGGCCTAATCATATATTGCTTTAACCTACTTTTGTCATGGAAAGTTTTTTCTTTTTCCTAACATTGTGCCAGTTCTGTTTGATTTAGTACCTGGGTGGGCAGTTGGGGGTCTTTTTCAGAACTTGAAACATACATTTTCATGGCCTTCTAGCATTTAGAGTTTGCACTGAAAAACCAGCTCTTACTCTGATAGGCCTGCCTTTATGTGTGACTTGGTTCTTCTCTCTTGCCACTTTCAGTACACTTCGGTTTTTTCCCATGTACTTTTAGTGTTTTTGACTATAGTATAATGCGAGGAATTTCTTTTTTCTGGTTCTGCCTATTTTGTGTTCTATATGCCTCTTTTATCTGGATGATCATCTATTTTCCTAGGATTGGGAAATTTTCTTCCATTATCTTATTGAAAATATTTTCTGTGTCTTTAACATGGGATTTTTCCTCTTCTGTACCTATAATCCATAATTTGTTCTTTTCACACTGTTTCAAAGAGCCACCATATTTTATTATTTTGTATATATTTAAATTTATTGTTGGACTTATTGAATGATCCATATCCTTTGACTTATCATTATGTCTGATTACTGTTTTCCATGTGATCCATTCTATTTGCCAGGATTTTTACTGAAGTTTTTATTTGAGTTACTGACAATTTAATTTCCAGTATTATTTGTTTGCTTTGTTTTCATTCCTGTTTGAAATGAGCAGGCAGTTTTATTGGCTTATAACCTACTAAGTAGGCTAGGCTGTTGGCCAGCAATCTTTGAGTACCCTCCTGTCTCTGAATTTCCAGAGATGGGATGACAAGTGTGTACCTCCATGCCTGGATTGCTTGTTGTTGTTTCTGATATGGGCTCAGGATCAAGGTTGTGCTTGCATAGCAAACACTTTACTCACTGAGCTGCCTAGACATAGTAATGTGTAGAATATTCTTTCTTTAAATGCCATATTTAAACAGATAGGTTAATGGTATTTTGAAATGAGCAAGCAGATGTGAGCAAAGAAAAAAGTTGGAAGAGACTTACCGAAATGAAAATGCTAGAAACTGAAATACTATGTGGGTTTGAATGTCAGAGCAGGATACAAATGACTTTCTGGTAATCTTTAAAATATTTCCCTTGAAGTTGGACATGAAAACAAAAATGATGGAAGCAAAATTTTATGAAGAAAAACTTAAGCTGCAACAGAAACATGATGCTGATGTGCAGAAGGTAGGGTATATACACTTACATTGTATGCAGTGTTTACTGTACTTTGGGGCTTGTGATGGACCACCATCCATTCATCTATCCACAAATTAGGTGGTTGATAATACTGTATCTTGTAAATGGAATTTGCTGAAGTAAAATCCCATCAAAAGCAACCTGTAAACTTTATTCATAAAATGTGTCTATTTCTGTCCTATTTTTACATTATCTATTACTTCTTCAACTGTATCTTAAGACTGAGTTTTATATAGTTTTTACCACATATGATTTTTGCAACTCTGTGTGTGTGTGTGTGTGTGTGTGTGTGTGTGTGTGTGTGTCTGAAAAAACTAGGACCAGAAAATAATCTGACAGTGAGATATTTTAAGACAGGATCTCACTAAATTTCTCAGCTTGTCCCTGTCCTCATCATCTTCTCCTAGACTTCTCAAATATTTGGGAATGACAGGCTCAACCATCAGGTTTTGCACCTTTCATGAAATTTGAAGTAAAATCACAACTGTAAATACTACAGTTTGTTATATCCCGATTGTTTCAGTTTTCTGATTCAGTTCAACTTTGAAATTAATTAATTAGATTGAAATCATATTGTTTTTCCATCTCAAACTTGTAATTCTCCTACCTAGGCCTCCTGAGTGCCATTGCACCTTGCTTTTCTTAGGTTCAAAAGTAACTATTGGGTCCCTCAGAGTGAGTGAAGACCCAGATGTCTATACAGTAGATCTTTTATTTCAAGTAAGATTTCTTTTCCTGGTGGCTTGCAATTGCCCAAGCAAACAAACAAAAAAACCAAGCCAACAACTTTTGGACTTAGCTCTGATGGTATTGACTGCATGTAGTCTAGTGCTAGCACTGATAATCAAGACGTCCTTTTTGAGTATAGCTTAGATTGTGCCTTCCAGTTTTTCAGTTTGTCTGTTTGTTTATTCACTTGCATGTGTTACTGGGTATTGAGCCAAGGAGTCTTTAATGCGAGGGAAGTACCGTATCAGTGCTAGGCTACCTCCCCACCCATTTAAAAATGTTTTTATTTTGGAATAGTATTTTACCAAGTATCCAGCCTGGCCTTAAGCTTACTCTGATCATCCCAAGTAGTTGGGTTATAGCTCAACAATACCAAGCTTGGCCCCAAGTTTTCAGTATCTTGAATTAAATATATGTCTTCCCCAGTGTCTCAACGAACATCAGCTGGTGTTTGCCATATAAAATTGTAGTTCATGTTGCATTTTTGTAATTGTTAAAAATTTTAGTGTTAATGATGTGTGTTTTAAATACATAAGGTTTGTACACAGAGAAAGTTTACACATGTTCTTTTAAAACTAGGCCTATATCTGCTTCTCCAAAGTGAATAACAAAGACAGAATCAGTTGGGCATAATAATTCTGGCACTGGAGTCCCAGGCTGGCCTTAAACACATCTGTAGTTCAGGCAGTCCATGATGTTAGCATCTTCTTGCTTTGGTCTGTAGAGTAGCTGGTGTATATCACCAGAGTAGTCTGCACTGCCAGTCTTGCCAGGTGAGAGAGGGAGAGGGGGAGGGGGAGGGGGAGGGAGAGGGGGAGGGGGAGGGGGAGGGGGAGGGGAGGGAGAGGGAGAGAAGGAGAGAGAGAGGGAGAGAGGGAGAGAGAGCGAGAGAGAGAGAGAGACCCTGTTCAAAAATCAAACAAAGGAAAACAAAGTAGGGGCAGAATCAGAAAACTGACGCTACAGTATCATGCATACAAGCATCTCTAAAACAGAAAATATTCTAGATTTTAGTCAGGTATAATATTTGATTCATCGTGTGTGAGTGTGTGTGTGTGTGTCTGTGTGTGTGTGTGTGTGTGTGTGTGTGTATACATGAAGCATGTATAAGGATGTGACTGCCATTGCATGTGTTTGTGGAGACTAGAGGTCCACTTTGCATGTCTTCCTCTGTTGTTTTCCCACTCATATTCTGAGGCAGGGACTTTCACTGAACCAGGAGCTTATCATTTTGGCTAGACTAGCTCACCAGGAAATGGCCCTCTTCCCTGGCTGGGGTCTTCATGCCGCCATGTCTGGTTTTCATGTGTGTTGGGGATCTGAACTCAGGTCCTCATGCTTGTGTAACAAACATTTTCCCCATCTTTACATCCTTCATCTTTTTTCTAAGCAACAAGAAGGAAACAACTCCTTATGTATTTTTTAAAAATGTGTTTATTTTCCTATCCTCTTCTCCATTCAAATGATAAAAACAATATTCTTGCTGTAATGATTTACCTTTGTTTAAATAAAAGTTTTTATAAATTTATATAATGAAATTTTATCATAAAATATCAAAAGAAAGTAGAATCATTTGAGGAATAATACATTAATGTATAGGATAAATGAATTTAAAAGATGTTTGGAAGAATTATGGTGATAGAGTTTAAAATAAGTTTCTTGGTATGTGTATGAGGTACATTTCCAGCATCATGACCAATGCTTGACAAGAAACATATGGGAGAAAGTCTTTTTTTGTTATAGTTTTAGAAGACACAGTCTGTCATGATGGAGAAAGTTAAGGGGAATGAATCTCTATGACAGGGATTTTGCAGCAGCTGATTGCTTTATGTTTGTAGAATGGGAAGAAGACAGTACACGAAGTGAGGCTGGGTTATAAAACCTCAATGACACCCAAAGCCCACTTCTCCAGTGAGGCCCTGTCTCCCAAATATTTCACAGTCTCTAAAAATAGTCCTACTAGCTGGGAACTAAATGTTCAAATACCTGTGCCTTTGGAGGGTATTTTATATCCAAACCAAACATTCCACCCTGGGCCCTGCAGGATCATGGCCATCTCAAAATTCAAAATGCATTCAGTTAAGCTTTCAAAGATTCCATAGTCTTACAGTTCTAGTGCTCTTCAAAAGTGCAAGGGCTATGTCTCTGAGACTCAAGGCAGTTCCTTAAATGTGAGCCCTTTTTAACTTAAAAAGTTAAGTTTCCAGCATGTAATGGCATGGTGTAAACCATTTACATCTCAAAGGAGAGGAAGGGAGAATAAAAATGGAAGACCAGACCAAAGTAACAATGAAATTCATTGAAAATACCAAACGTTCTTACTCCATGTCAGGCATGTTGGGCTTGTGGTACTATCATATGGGTTCCATTGGCCTTGGGTAGCTTGGCATCTCCAACTCAGCTGCCTATAACACAGATGGTCTCTCTCTTGGGCCATTGCCTGGTCTGGTTCTCAGTGACTTTCTAGAACTCAGCACAGATTTCTGTTACTTCTTCATTCTTCATAGTTGCAAAACCTGCACCACATGGGCAATATCATGTCTTCATGCCAATTTGAGATATATCCTGGCTCTCTTGGGCCATTGCTGAATTGCTTCTTGTGTCTTTGAGATTGAATCTGGTAAAAACACCTTGCTAGGTAACCCTGCTTGAGCAGGATTCCCTGCCGGCTGTCTTTGTTTAGTCACTCTCTTTTCAAATGAAAAACTTTAGATAATTTTGTATTGCTCTATAACCCTGCTGCATGTGGGAAGTCTTAAGCTTCCTGGCTCCTTTCCTCTTGTTCCAGTACTAAATCTGTGGTGTCTCTTTAAAGGCGCTATTCTCTTCAACAGATATACATGTTTTGTTCTCAACTTTAACTGGATTCAAACTTTTTTTTGCAAACTGTATATTTCTTTCTGCCCTCATTCTCTATATAACCCTGACTGAGACAGTCTCGATTTTCTTTATGACTTTTTAGTTAAGTTTCATGTATTTTCAGGATATGAGCAGAATGCAGCCAAATTTTTTGCCAGAATAAAAACATGAATGGCATCTAGCCCAGTTTCTGAAAGAGTCCTGACTCCCGATACAACATCAGACTGTCCTTTACTGTCTCCATTTTTATTGGCATTCTAGTTTCCCACACTTGAGCCAGAAGAGGTTAATAAGTTCTGCCTTTGGTATTCTAGGGTTCCTTTAGCCTGCAGCTCTCAAGTCTCACTTTCCCTCCTGCAAACCAGTTCCAAAGGCCTCAGAATCACATGGTCAGGCTTATCACAGCAGTGACCTCACTGCTTTGTACAAAGTTATTAATTCATTCATCCCATACCACTAATACCAAAGAACTGAGAATAAAAACAGCTCAAGAAGATGGGAAAAGTTATTTTCGTTCATGGTTTGTGGGGATGTGGTCCAGCAGTCAGAGGATTGAGACTGAAGCAGGAAAGGTAAAGTAGGATGCTGCTAATAGAAACACTAGGAAAACCTCCTTTGGCATCATTGAGCAACTTTTCTTGAACTTGGTTGAGGGCGTAGCTGTAGCTGCACTGTACGAGCAGCAGCCAGACCATCTTTCTCCTCTCTCTGGTTTTCTTTTGAGCTCCTGAGTGGCATTTTCTGCTGTTTATTAGCTCTCCAATTTTGGTTATTTCTGTTTTTTAAAATTTTTTATTGTGAAGTATAAAATTGTAGTTGCATTTATTAAGTGGTTAAGTGCTGTAAAAGTTATTAAGTTTTTGAGATTTTGATTTCGTTTTTTCTTGATTCATAAAACAGAACTAGATATAAATGAAGCCTGTTATGTATCATCCTTCCAAATATCTAGGAGATCTTGGCTTTAAGCAGTGAAAAAGGAGGACAGTGGTAGGGGATCCCTGGATATGTTCAGTCAAAAGATGTTACACCCCAGTGCAGTGCAGTGGAGTGTGCCACCCAACAGAGCTCATTTCTGATGACTTCTTCCTGCCACCTTATGACAATTGAATTTCCAAATCATGTTGTAGGATTCATGTAATTCATTATTCATAGTCTTTTAAAGATTATATGTGAAAATTCTAAACAAAGGATTTTAAAGTAACTTATTTTAGTGTGTTAGTATTTTTATCAGTGTATATAAAGTAATTTTTATTCAGTGAAAGCATTTATGAGATTGATTGACTGGCAAAATAATTTTTCTCACTTGTAATTATATACCCTATACTTAATTCTGTAAGCTAAGGTACTGTACATTCTTTTTGCAGATTTTAGAAAGAAAGAATAATGAACTAGAAGATTTGAAAATCTTATATAGAAAGAAACAAGCTGAAACTGAGGAAACTATAAGAAAACTTGAAAAGAAAGGTGATGGTGTATGATGTGAATCTTCTAATAACGTTTTCAATTTTTTAACGATTGAAAATTTTATTTCTGAGATTTTGTCAGCATGCATCTGTAGATTTATATGAACTTCCCTGTGGCTAGGCAAATGTGTGTGTTTTAAGAGAGAGAGTCGGGGAGTGCAGTGGCAGCAGGGACTGACAGAAAAATCTTAAAATATTTTTCTCATTTACACATTCATTGAGAAAGCATGTAGTTAAGTATTAAATTGGGGGGGCTGGAGAGATGGCTCAGAGGTTAAGAGCACTGACTGCTCTTCCGCAGGTCCTGAGTTCAATTCCCAGCAACCACATGGTGGCTCACAACCATCTATGATTCAACTGGTGCCCTCTTCTGGCATGTAGGCAGAACACTGTATATGTAATAAATAAATGTTTAAAAAAAAAGTATTAAATTGGCTACATTATGAACTAAAATATCAAAAATTTCTGGTATTCACAAGAGAGATGTCATGTTTCAGAGAAAATAAGTATTGTTTGATTTTGTAAAGTTGAACATGATTTAATTCATTCAAGAGAGGAGTTCCTCATATTGGGGAAGGAACTCTAAAGTTGGTGAGGGTGTGTGTGTGTGTGTGTGTGTGTGTGTGTACACACACTGGGCAGATGTTTGACTACTGAGTACATCTCTAGCTCACAGACTTGAGGCCCTGTCTTTCTGTGCTCACTTGTGGAATTTAGCACATGCTTTGATATGGGCTTAGAATATTTGAGTTACAGCCTTGGGATTAGTGAGAATGGAACTCTAGTATTACGATTTGATAAAGGAAGAGATATAGACAGTGGGTAAGAATGAAGGACAAAGTGGGACTTTGATCTATGATGGTGCCAAGTTCTTTGGGTTTCTCCCCAAACCTGAATGTGGTAGAGCAGATAGTAATATTCCTGTGAGAATTCCATGTGAGAATTAACCAGAGAACTAGGCATTTTCAGATATAATATCCTAAGTGACCCATTGGAGAAAGAGACCCAATTTTGTGCAAATGAGAGGGCTTTCGTTCTGACATTGCAAGGTGAGGGATCTGTTTGGTGAGTGTTTTAAAAAGATGATTCCCTGCATGAGTAGAAATTTTTCAATGATGGAGAAAAAGTATAAAAAGAGAGATGATAACTTTGGGTAGTAAAGAGAGGTTGGTATATTTGTTTACAGTTTCAAGATGTGGGGGAGGCAAGAGCTGGATGCAGAAAGCAGCTGGAGCATATGGACCCATTTTCCCTGTCAGTCTTGGCCCATATGATAAATGTAGGGGAGGAGAAGGGTAGCATCATTCCTAGCCTGGCGCTCACTATGGGGTTTGCACCATTGAGTGGGCTCTTTAAAATGACAGAGGTCACATTAAAAGAGAGATAGATGCTTGAGCCTCACATGCTGCTTAAATGTTGTAGGGAGAGAATAAAGACTAATTTATCAAGCTTATCTATGATTATGGAAATGACGAAAAATCAAGAGATTAGAGGTGTTTTAGAAAAGTAAGACTTCATGAAAAATTATCTGTTAAATGTATCATTACATTTAGATATCATCTAATTCTAATGTGGTTCCTAGAGCTGGTTTAACTATATTTTCATCATTTTTGACAGTTCAGATCCTTATACGTGACTGTCAAGTTATCAGAGAAACGAAAGAAAACCAGATAACAGAACTGAAGAAGATGTGTGAGCAAAGCGCAGAGTCCCTGAATAACGATTGGGAAAAAAAGGTGAGCTCCTGAAGCCAGCCGCGTGTTCTGTGGGGTTGGGAAAAAAAGGTGAGCTCCTGAAGCCAGCCGCGTGTTCTGTGGGGTTAGGAAAAAAAGGTAAGCTCCTGAAGCCAGCCGTGTGTTCTGTGGGGTTAGGAAAAAAAGGTGAGCTCCTGAAGCCAGCCGCGTGTTCTGTGGGATTGGGCAAAAAAAGGTGAGCTCCTGAAGCCAGCCGGGTGTTCTGTGGGATTGGGCAAAAAAAGGTGAGCTCCTGAAGCCAGCCGCGTGTTCTGTGGGATTGGGCAAAAAAGGTGAGCTCCTGAAGCCAGCGTGTTCTGTGGGGTATGTCTGAAAGGGACAAGCTCAGCGTGTGGAAATGATGAGAAATTCAAGATAACTAGAAATAATAGCTAGTGTTCATATTTTGGTATATTTTCTTCTCAAAGTCTATGTTCTATAAATAGTTTTTGTTTTAAAACCACATTTTACTTATTTTTTATTGAATTAATGTTTTGTCTATTATTTGTTAGAGCTAGTAGGTGTTAGGCAAAATGATTACAGAAATAATGGTTTGAATTTGGGATTTGGGCCATTTATTTTTTTCTTAAAATGCCAGGTACTCTGGTATAACCCAGATTGAAGTTTATAGTACAAACTTGTTTTGATGAGTAATATCCCTGGTGGATTGTTCCTGCTTGCACACATTGGGGAAGCCCTGAGGTGTTGGTACTGGGGTTTAGTGATCATCTTGGGTCACTACAGTAGTCCTGCATTGAAAATAAAGACTTCTGCCAAATTACAGAATCAACAATCAGATTTCAAGGAGTGCTTGCAGTATTCAAACTGCCTCTATTAAATTTTCAAAATCCAAGGGTCTTCTGGATGGCTCTTTCTGAGTCATCCTCACTCTTCTTGTTGAGCTCCAAACTGGTATGGCATTCTTGGGACCTTTGCTAGGCTGGTGCTGTGCTCCTAGCCTGCTTTTTGCATCCGGTTTCAGTGTCTCCCTTGTCAGGTGGGAACTTGCGCTGCCTTTGTTAGCCCCGGCCTTTCTCTCTGTTCACAGATAGCAGTCAAAAGCATGTGTTATCTCTTCTGAACCCCTGCTTTCCCCATCTCACAGTGGCATTGGATCCAGAGAATATAAGCTAGATTCCCAGTAAGATCAAAGAAGGATGGGCCACAGGCTGAGAGCAGCTTCCAGCCTCTGCCCAGAAGCTTGCTACTGAATCCTCTCTGGGCTTCTACTTTTGGCTTTGCCTCCTCTACCTTAATTCACAGTGATTTTGTTAAAACTTCATCCATTTAGTCAACATAAATATATCGGTCAATTAAGACCTTTGTATATAACACTTGTGACATACAATTCTTAGTTATCAGCTTTGCTGTATATTCTACTCATAAGCATGATCTTTGTGTTTGTTATTTAAATTGATTATGGAATACCCAGTGAGGATCTTACTGGGAATTTGCATAGGTCAGGAAGCATTTTCACACTTGTATTGTACAAATGAAATAAATAATAGTTGCTATCCACAATGAACAACAATAAGATTATTAATATTTCTGTTTGTATATTTTCAGACTTCTAATAATATTGTTTGAGAACTATATTACCAATCAGATTTACTTACTTTCTGTCCAAGACAGAAAATTCCTTTAGCATTTGCCTATCTGTTAAAATTTTATGTTCTGGAAAGCAGAGGAAAAAATTGCATGTGCTTTGTATGATACTTGTACTTGTGAATTTTAGATTCTTTTTTAGATCACTTTCTAGATATAAGTAGGAGTATTGGAAAAGTGCTTGAATTTCAAAATAACCGAGTCATGATAGTGAAAGACTCTTGCCTTCGTTATGCAGCTTCACAATGCTGTAGCAGAAATGGAAAAGGAAAAATTTGAGCTTCAAAAGCGACATACTGAGACTATTCAGGAGCTGCTGGAGGATACAAACGTGCGCCTGAATAAAATGGAGGGTGACTACATGGTGCAGACACAGTCCACAGTAAGTGCTTTTCTTTTCTGTTTCACTTTTTGCATCTATCTTCTTTTCTGTGTCCTCATCCTTCACTGATACATATTTTATATAAATTTGTTACTAAATATAAAGAAAAAGCTTTTCTTTCTTATTTGATACAGTGAGAACAGACAGCCTTTAGAAGTTCAATAAGAGGGCAGACTCCAGATTGTTTGATGCTACCTCTGTGTCTTAATTTCCTAGAAGTGGTTGCAAATCTTTTTTATCATTAACTTTTAGTTCAAGGACAATTATTTTGTTTTTAAATTTCTTTTAAACTGAAGATATGAATGTTTTTATGCTATTTAAAGTTGATATGAAGGAAATTAAAGTGGTATTGCTCTGACACATTTTCTTAGAGCATCTTGACTGAGGCAATACGTACATCTGTCACTTGGAGAAATCTCAAATTCTTAACAGTTTAGGTGTCTTCTTAACTCTTTGAATGTTACGTTTTCTCATTTCTGTGATAAGAAAATGATAGTAGTTGGCAATACTGAATTGATATGTAAATGAAATTAAATAATAAGCTTTCAATATTTAGATTCTTTGAAAATGCAGCATTTAAGAATTATAGAGTCATATAAGTGAAAAAGAAAGACTCAGTTTAAGGAAGTCATACGTGCCTGAGGATGGGATTTTGGGCCTCTATTCCTTGTAAAAATGACAAAAAGGACATGAAAAAGTCAGAAATAATGATGGACAAAACCCACAAGAGGTTAATAGAACTTTTTGGAGTTTGGAATTAACCCCTTACAGAATGTTGCAAAGAAAGAACGATTAGTTTTGGCTTACTGTTTCAGAGGGTCTGAGTCTGTGATGGCAGGGCAAGCCTGTGGAGTTCATGGCGATGGGAACAAGTGGCAGAGACTCCTTATATAACAGCAAGCTAGAAGCACAGAAATTCCTGACAGAGCCAGGATACAGAAACTAACCTTCAAAGGCTCACTCCTAGTCAGATAGGTCCTACCTCCTAAAGGCTTCACAGGCTACTGAAACAGCAAGCTACCTGGATTTCAAGACATGACCCCATGGGAGGTTCAAATCATAATAGCTTTGGGAAGGCAATGGAGAAGTTGAAGGTTCAAGAAGGTGACCCAGAATGCTGGGAAGTATAGCTGAGTTGTTCCATGCAGCCTGCAGAAGCATCAGGCAGCTCAGGAGTCTGCAATATGATGTTTGATAGGTCTGTAAGAAGAAGCAAGGGCGAGGGTACAAGGATGTTGATCATAATGCTTCCACATTTGCATGTGCTTAAAACGTCCCTGATGTAACTATTTAAATTGAGAGACAAAGCAAGAGCAGACCACAGGTCTGGATGGTCTCTCCCAGTTTGTGGAGCATAGGCTCATCTGACTTGTGACTTCTCAGAGAACACTGGGCTATCTTCTGGCAAGAGGAAACAGTCTCAGAATTTGCTGCAGTTTGCTAAGCATGGTGCATAGAGTTCTGAGAGTCCTTGGAACCCTTTGAGTTCTTGGGGTAGCAGACTGTAAAGCACCACTGCTCCACCTCTCAAAGAAGGGGAAAAACAGAGTTGCTTATAAGGAAAAGAGTATCAATGCCTTTAGAGTTTTTAACTCACTGTTCAATGTCAGAAAACAAGGGCCACGCCTACAAGGTGTGGCCCCTAGTGTTTTCCAAATGAATAAGTAGTTTTAAACACTAGCAGATCCCTGACATGCTAAATGTCACTATAGTGCTTTTAGAAATGACATTTGCCATTATTTTGATCTCTTTGAATATTTTTTCATTCTTTTTTATTAAGAGAAATGTATCCACAGAAATTATGTTTTTAAAAAGAGCTATTTATTCTGCCTCTTGGGCATTATTTTGTGTTTTCTATCCTTGTAGCTTCTTACTGTTCTTTATTTCTATCTGTGGAAGCTTCTTTAGTTCTACCTTTGTCAATTCATTCTTTAATAGGTTTGTTCCTGCTTATTGCATCTGTTACACTTTTTATTTCAACTATTTTTTTCATGCCCAGTATTTTCATTTGACTCTAAAAAAGCCCTCCTAGTCAATTTCTTCTTGTGTCTTTTGTTAATACTTCTTTGAGTATATATATTATGTTAGATCTATCTTGTCTAATTATATTTAGATTATTACAATGTACTATATATTATGAATAATAACATGATACATATTGCTGTCCTAGTTAGTTTTTACTGTCAACTTGACACAACCTATAGTCACCTGGATGGAAGAATCCTCAATTGAAGAGTCGTTTAGATCAGATTCTCCTGTGACCATGTCAATAAGAAATTGTTTTGATTGATGATTGATGTAGGAGGGCATTGACCCTAGGCAGGTAGTTTTGATATATGTAAGAATGGTTAAGCATGAGCTAGTGAGTGAGTCAGTAACTAGCATCCCTCAGGTTTTGCTTGCTTTACTTCCTGTTTGTGTCCCTCAGTGATGGCCTGTAACCTAGAAGTGTAAGCTGAAATAGCCCCATTTTCCTGTGTTGCTTTGGTCATGGTTTTATCAAACTAACAGGAAGCAGTCTTGGACAATTGCATTTTTTTTAAATGAATTTGCCGACATTCCTTCAGCATAGCTTCCACAGGTCTCAGTTATTTTGAACTGAGAACTCATGTCCATGTGAGTTGTTATTCTGATATGTATTTGGGAAAGCAGGAGATCAAGTTCTTTTATTGGTCAACAAGAGCTTGACTTATTTAGGAAGGAGGAATGTCAATTTAGAGAATGCTCCCATCAGATTGGCCTATGGGCAAGCCTGTGGTGTGTTTTCTTAATGCTGCTGGAGAGCCCAGTTCCCTGTATGTGGTGCTGCCCCTGGACTGATGGTCTGAGATTGTATAAGAAAGCAGTCTGAGCAAGCTGTGAAGAGCAAGCCAGTCAGCAGCATTCCTCCATGGCCTCTGCATCAGTTCCTGGCTCCAGGTTCCAGTCTTGAGTTACTGCTGTCACTTCCTTCGATGATGGACTCTGATATAGAAGCAGAAGTAAAGTAAACCCCCTTCCTCCCAAGTTGCTTTTGGTCCTGGTGTTTTATCTCAGCAATAGAAAGAAAACTAAGATAGAGCTTGTTCAAGTAGTGAGGAAATCATGAGCCTCAGGGTAGAGACTCCTGCAAAGGCCCATTGGCGTCTTCCCATATGTAAGATACAGGCCTCACCAATCCTAAGAGAAATATAACTTTAGAGAGAGTGTGTTTCCCTCTATTAAAACAATCAGCTAATGGGCTCTAGATTGAGAGGTTATCTTTCAATGAAAGAAGCCCTAACTTCTTTTTTTTTTTTAATTTAAATTAGAAACAAACCTGCTTCATATGTCAATTGCAGCTCCCTCGCCCTCCCCTCCTCCCCGCCCCCTCCACCAACCCCCCATCCCATCTTCCCTCTGCTCACCGGGGAGGGTGAGGCACTCCATAGAGAATCTCCAGAGTCTGTCATTTCATCCAGGGCCGGGCCCAGGCCCACCTCCATATGTCCAGGCTGAGAGCACATCCCTGCACATGGAATGGGCTCCCAAAGTCCATTTGTGTGCCAGGGATAAATACTGATCCAGTACCAGAGGCCCCATAGATTGCCGAGGCCTCCTCACTGACACCCACATTCTGGGAGTCTGGATCAGTCCCATGCTGGCCTCTCAGCCATCAATCTGAGGTCCATGAGCTCCCCCTTGTTCAGGTCAGCTGGAAAGAAGCCCTAACTTCATCAGATTTATTCAGCTTTATGACTGCTGTCTTTTCTCTCCCCCCATTTCCATGCTTCCAGCCCCCTCTTTTTTTCTTCTCCTTTCTTTCATCTCTTTTCATTTTCCTCTTCCCTTCCTTTTGCCTTGCTTTCCCTCCATTTTCCTGTTTTCTGCACCTTTGCTCTTTTCGTCCCATATTCTTCTCCTTACTCTTATCCTTCCTTTACTTACTCTTTCCCCTTCCTCTTCTGTTTCCATTTTTTTCCTTTTCCCATTGTCCATCCCTTCCCTTTTCTGTCCGTTGTTTGAAACCGGTGGTCTATGTCGCACCTGCTGTGCAGCCTGCATCCGAGAATGTAGCGAGGTGGTCGGGATAGATGACACAGAGACCGGTCGGTTGCTTTAAGAAAACTTTATGCTTCCCAAGTCAGCTTAGGAGGAGACCCCAGTCCGCTTAGGAGAGCTCTCAGGAGAAGTCTCTGGCGAAATCTCTGGAGAAGTCTCTCCAAGAAAAAAAGAGCTTCCCTTTTTTAAGGACTTTTGCCATCCATTTACATACCATTCTTTCCACTTCTCACCCTCCTGGCTGGTGGTTTAATCTCCGGCCCCAGAATCGGGGAGACACCACAGGGGGCAGGGACAGGAAGAGGCATCTAGCCGTAGGGGGTGTGACAGTCATGGTATTTCAGTGAGCAAGCCCTTATCTGAGCCCTATGAAGCTTTAAAGCACTGAATTGTTTCCAGTAAACATTACACAGATGCCTGCTCCCAGGCCGAAGGGGAAGTGGGTTTCTGCTCAAGGTCTGGTGTCCCCACAGGTCTACACATCTCAGGCTGGTCAGGTACTTGCTATGTAGTGAGGCTACTCTTCAGTGAAAAGTCTCACCCGTTTATTGCCATGCAAGTCCTGCTCTTTGTGTCTTGTTAAACAAGTCTCTTTTTACGGAGAGTGCAGGATAGTTTGCCTATATGCTTTACTAAAAGTTTTAAGTTTTGCTTTTACAAGAGTCTTTAATCTCGCTGGTTGTTAACTTTTTTGTGACTAGTGAAAGATTGGAATTTAATTTCATTGTTTTCATGTAGATGACTTCCTTTGTTTTTCCAATTTCACTTTTGAGTCATTCTTCCTCTCTCTTGATCTGTCTTGGCTGTTGTGTATGCAACTTCCCTCCAATGAAGGTCTCCATTGTTTATGACTAGCTAGTGTCTCTGGTTTTGCTGACATCATTGCTGTAGCATAGTTACTCCTGATGTTCAATGTGCAGATCTTTCTTCCTTGTTGAGCAGATTGGTCCTGCCTGAATCCTTCCTTTGATGGCTCCATT